TCACAGTTTATCAGAGTGAGCTGAGCTCATGACGTAGATCTACGGTTTGGACCCTGAACGTAAAGCCGTAGATCTACGGGACAGACCCTGAAAGGGTTAACCTCATCCTTCATAAATCCATCCGCCAACACGTCAACTCCCAAGTATCTGAAAACATTTACTTCTTCCATACTCCTCCTCCCCAATTTGATATCCAATTTTTCTTTATCTAAATCATTTGATACCCTCATCACCTTACTCTTTTCTATGTTCACTTTCAACTTTCTACCTTTACACACATTCCCAAACTCATCCACTAACCTTTGCAATTTTTCTTTAGAATCTCCCACAAGCACAGTATCATCAGCAAAAAGTAACTGTGTTAATTCCCATTTTGAATTTGATTCCCCATAATTTAATCCCACCCCTCTCCCAAACACCCTAGCATTTACTTCTTTTACAACCCCATCTATAAATATATTAAACAACCATGGTGACATTACACATCCCTGTCTAAGACCTACTTTTACCGGGAAGTAGTCTCCCTCTCTTCTACACACCCTAACCTGAGCCTCACTATCCTCATAAAAACTCTTTACAGCATTTAGTAACTTACCACCTATTCCATATACTTGCAATATCTGCCACATTGCTCCCCTATCCACTCTATCATATGCCTTTTCTAAATCCATAAATGCAATAAAAACTTCCCTACCTTTATCTAAATACTGTTCACATATATGCTTCAATGTAAACACTTGATCTACACATCCCCTACCCACTCTGAAACCTCCTTGCTCATCCGCAATCCTACATTCTGTCTTACCTCTAATTCTTTCAATTATAACCCTACCGTACACTTTTCCTGGTATACTCAATAAACTTATTCCTCTATAATTTTTACAAGCTCTTTTGTCCCCTTTCCCTTTATATAAAGGGACTATACATGCTCTCTGCCAATCCCTAGGTACCTTCCCCTCTTTCATACATTTATTAAACAAAAGTACCAACCACTCCAACACTATATTATCCCCTGCTTTTAACATTTCTGTCATGATCCCATCAGTTCCAGCTGCTTTACCCCCTTTCATTCTATGTAATGCCTCACGTACCTCCCCCACACTTACATTCTGCTCTTCTTCACTCCTAAAAGATGGTATACCTCCCTGACCAGTGCATGAAATTACCACCTCCCTTTCTTCCTCAACATTTAAAAGTTCCTCAAAATATTCTCGCTATCTACCTAATACCTCCCTCTCCCCATCTACTAACTCCCCTACTCTGTTTTTAACTGACAAATTCATACTTTCCCTAAGCTTTCTTAACTTGTTTAACTCACTCCAAAATTTTTTCTTATTTTCATTAAAATTTCTTGACAGTGCCTCTCCCACTCTATCATCTGCTCTCCTTTTGCACTCTCTCACCACTCTCTTCACCTTTCTTTTACTGTCCATATACTCTGCTTTTCTTATAACACTTCTGCTTTGTAAAAACCTCTCATAAGCTAACTTTTTCTCTTTTATCACACCCTTTACTTCATCATTCCACCAATCACTCCTCTTTCCACCTGCCCCCACCCTCCTATAACAAAAACTTCTGCCCCACATTCTAATACTGCATTTTTAAAACTATTCCAACCCTCTTCAACCCCCCCACTACTCATCTTTGCACTAGCCCACCTTTCTGCCAACAGTCGCTTATATCTCCCCCGAGCTTCCTCCTCCCTTAGTTTATACACTTTCACCTCCCTCTTACTTGTTGTTGCCACCTTCCTCTTTTCCCATCTACCTCTTACTCTAACTGTAGCTACAACTAAATAATGATCCGATATATCAGTTGCCCCTCTATAAACATGTATATCCTGAAACCTACCCATCAACCTTTTATCCACCAATACATAATCTAACAAACTACTTTCATTACGTGCTACATCATACCTTGTATATTTATTTATCCTCTTTTTCATAAAATATGTATTACTTATTACCAAATCTCTTTCTACACATAGCTCAATTAAAGGCTCCCCATTTACATTTACCCCTGGCACCCCAAATTTACATTTGTATACATTTAAATCAGCTGGTGGTGCATATTGCCAGAGATATTTGTTTCACACCTTGTACCAAGGAGTGAGAACTTCCAAGAGACTTATGTATTTTGTTGGATGAACCATAGATATGTGGTTCTTGTTTGATAAGACACTGGTAAGTAAAATTATTGGTATCACTCTCACTCTCTCTTATGTCTACGACATTTAACTGATAGTCTATGCATATTGCCCTCAGAATACTGGTTCCTTTAGTGATTTTTAACATTTATCTAAGCAACACTAGGTCCATCAAGAAGTTAATTAATATTTGTAGATGAATGGTTCAGAGAACCGACATGTTGATAAATTAGACACATATGCAACTCTTGGGTATCTTTATTGAGGAAACGTTTCGCCACACAGTGGCTTCATCAGTCCATATGTAGGAGAAACTTGAAGAACAGGAGGAGAATGAGGTAATCAGTCCCTCAACCTTGAGTCGATGTGCTCAGTCCATCAATCTTGAATAGAATACGGCATATCAGCGGAGAAGCAGCTTATAAACCGTATGGCAGGAGAGGTGCAGCAGTCATAGGTCGTGTCACATTTGTTCAATGTGGAAGTAGGTCGTGCCCAAGAATTAGGCAAGCGAAGAATTCCTAAGTATTAAGATCCCAAGAAGTTGCAGTGTCTGACAGATTTGTAGATGAATGGTTTAGAGAACCGACATGTTGATAAATTAGACACATATGCAACTCTTGGGTATGCAGTTCAAGCCCAACTAATAGAGATCATCCAGGGTGTGTGTGTGTGATTTGCTCAGAAGTATATTTGGTTGCAGTATTACTTTTAAAATAGCAGGTCCTTCTGCTGGTGAATCATAAAATTACAAACACAAAAAAGAGCAACTTCAGGGAAGTGTAATACAAGAATGGCTTGCATTATTGCTCTTAAATACTTTTTATTGATCTCATTATGTTCAGCCTTACTCTTGCACTAAACCCCAGTTTTCCATTGAATCAGTGTATTCATACGTTTTCCATTAATGTTACCCTTGCATATACAAAGGGCTTACTGCATACAGTACAGTGGACCCCCGGTTAACGATATTTTTTCACTCCAGAAGTATGTTCAGGTGCCAGTACTGACCGAATTTGTTCCCATAAGGAATATTGTGAAGTAGATTAGTCCATTTCAGACCCCCAAACATACACGTACAAACACACTTACATAAATACACTTACATAATTGGTCGCATTCGGAGGTGATCGTTATGCGGGGGTCCACTGTATTTCAAGTTGTCAAGAAAATATTTATCATACATTCAGAGTGTTCATCCACAGAGTCAGAAAGATTTGCTACCTGGTTTAGTGTCCACACTTTTGATAAAAGAATATTTCATTGTCAGAACTCCATATCCTTAACAATGAAATCCTAATCATCCACCACAAGCATAGCATTTTTTCCCACTTCTTTGCCCATCGCTGGTATGGAAATTTATGAAAATACAGTGGAACCTAGGTTTTCGTATGCCCTAGTTGGTGTGTAAAACTATAGTTATTCTCTATAAAATGTATTTTTTGTTAATATTTTCCATAAAAAATAATGTAAATCCAATTAATCTGTTCCAAACACCCAAAAATATGAACAAAAAATACACTTTATAAAGAATATAGTTTTACAAACAAACTAGGGCATACAAAAACCAAGGTTCCACTGTATGTGACTACAATTTTATAATATATCAGTAAAGAACATGCATGCTCATATTTTACCAGTGTTGTATTGCAGTCCTGATTATATTTAACCCTTTCACTGTTGAGACCCCTGCTCACAAACTTGCTCTCAGAGTCAAAGAATTTAAAAAAAAATTATTTTTTCTTATGAAATAATAAGAGAATCTTTCCTCGGTGGTAATGACACCAAAAGTACGAAATTTGATGAAAAAACTTGTGGAATTAGGCTCTCATGAAGTTAGCAGTCTCAGCGATATATATATGCATCGGCGATTTTACCTACTTTGAGCCCTATTTTCAGCCAATTCCATTGTTCCTGTCGACCAAACTCGTAGCTATTTTGCTAGAACTCCATTGGTTCTGTCGATTGAGTACAAGAAAACGCTCATTTACCGATTTTAACTACCCAATAAAGTGGTCAGAATTTGGTAATTTGGCCAATTTCACACAAATTTCAAAAGATGCCAATTTCAAAATAGGATCCAGAATAAACAATGCAGACGTCCCTGGCACTAAAATAACATTTTCTCTATTCATTAGTCTCATCTCTAGGCCCCTCTTATATTATTCTTGCTTTCCATTTTGAATTTTTATTCACACAAAAAATAGATTTACTGTTATGCAGACTACTGCATTATTGTAATAATTGTATAAATAATGTCAACCCATTTGTGACTGCATATTAGACTGACCAGTTGGACATGTATTGAATGGTGATGTCATTTATTTACTCTTGAACATCGGCAAAAATCGAACATTTCTGCTACTTTGAGCTCAATTTCAAGGTACTTTTCATTGTGAAACCAACCAAAATCATCTCTATTTCTCTAAAATATCTTCCAATCTGTCAAATGAGACCAAGAAAACGAGAATACAGCCATAAATACCATACAAAAATACACCTCAAAGTCAGCATTTTAAACCAAATACATGGTCAGAGTTTTTTTTTTTCCCCTCTCATTATGCACGGCATGCTGCAGGATTTTTTTTATACTGTGCACACTGACCACACAGACCCATTGTCTCAAATGTAGGTCTACCAGCTTTCTCCCAATAGATTCGAAGCCACTAGAATTTTGGTGTATTAATACGACGCCAACACTGGCTTGTAAGCCATACCTATATGTCACTAACAGTGAAAGGGTTAAAAAAAAAAAAAAGCTTAAAAGTCTATAACATTGAAGTATGCTTGTTATTTATATGTATACAGTGTACATATATAAACTGTTTATTACTTAAACATTTCTGTTTACCAGGAAAGTTTTATATAGTTGGACGTAATGGTCGCACTGAAAAGACAGTTGTTGACGCTCATCGAGGTGCAGTATTGGCTGGTCGCTGGAGTCACGATGGAGCTGGGCTAGTCACAGGTAAGGTTGGAGGTTTTTGGTAAGCGCTGAAAATGTTTTTTTTTTTATACTGTACTTTTTTAACATGCAGGCTGCTTTCCACAAGGAAAGGGTACCATCACTCATTCCATAACTTTCCAAAATTGCAAGGCCATCCCCGCCTATCTTTAAGAGTGTAAGCACTGTACATCTCCTTTCTAAAACTAGCTAACTTTACCACATCCATCAAACCTATTTTCCCTGAATTCTTTCATAGATTTTACCATGTTCATACTTCAACATCATGTCCAATCTCGAAAAAAACTTGTCTCCTTGGTTACCGAACCTTGCCTCCTTGGCTACCGAAGGTAACCAAGGAGACAAGGTTTAGTTACCTTTGATAACCAAACCTTGGTTACCATAGTTACCTTTGGTAACCATACCTTGGTTACCAAATCTCAGTGTAAAAATTAAATTTAAGGTCTCTGATTGTCATTTAACCCTGGCAGTTCAAACTTTCTTACTATGCCCTCTACATTAGTGTTTCCCATCTCAGTATTAAAGTATTTGTCCAAATTATATAAGGAGTTTGTGTTTGTTCTTATTTGCAGCTGGTGAGGATGGTCTGGTGAAGATATGGTCTCGCAGTGGAATGCTACGATCAACACTGGCACAAGTATCAGTGCCAGTATACGGAGCAGCCTGGGCCCCTGATTCAGATGCAATTCTCTATACAACGGGTACAAACCTCATTATCAAACCACTAGCACCAAACTCTAAACCTATTCAGGTAAAAAATACGTAAATCTTTCTTTCTTTCAACAAACTGGCCATATCCCACCAAAGCAGGGTGGCCCAAAAAGAAAAACAAAAGTTTCTCTTTTTAACTCGAGTAATGTATAGAGGAAAATGGGGTTACTAGCCTCTTGCTTCCGGCATTTTAGTCACCTCTTACGACATGCATGGCTTATGGAGGAAGAATTGTTCCACTTCCCCTTGGAGAGTAAAAAATAAATACAGTATACTATTTACTTCTCCATGGGGAAGTGGAACAGAATTCTTCCTCCATAAGCCATGCGTGTCGTAAGAGGCAACTAAAATTCCAGGAGCAAAGGGCTGGTAACCCCTTCTTCTGTATACATTACTATGGTTAAGAAGAGAAACTCTTGTTTTTATTTTTTGGGCCACCCTGCATCGGTGGGATATGGCCAGTTTGTTGAAAGACTAAGATACTATTTACTATTGTAAAACTATTTGTATGCAAATTTTCTCATACCTTTTTAATTAACCCTTTGAGGGTCGACAGGCCCTCTCCGAGACTTGTTCTCAGGGTCAGCCAAATCTAAAAAAAAAAATAATTTTTTCTTATGAAAAGATAGAGAATCTTTTCCTGATCATAATGACACCAAAAGTATGAAATTTCATGGAAAACTTGCGGAATTATGCTCTTGCAAAGTTAGCGGTCTCTACGATGTTTACGCATCAGCGATTTTGCCCACTTTGAGCCCTATTTTCGGCCAATTCCAGTGTACTAGTCAACAAAAATCATAACTGTTTCTCTAGAACTCCATTTTTTCTTTTGAATGAGTACAAGAAATCACCCATTTACTGATTTCAACTATCCAATACAGTGGTCAGAATTTAGCAATTTTGCCAATTTCACACAAATTTCAATAGATGCCAATTTCCAAATAGGGTCCAGAATAAACAAGAAAGACATTCCTGGCACGAAAATAACATTTCCTCTGTTCGTTAGTCACATCCCCAGGCCCTTCTTATATTTCTTTGGCTTTCCACTTTAAATTTTTATTCTTACAAAAAATGGATTTACTATTATGCAGACTGCTGCATTAGTGTAGAAATGGTATAAATAATATCAGCGCACTTGTGAAAGAATATTAGACTCACCAGTTGACATGTATTGGACGCTTGTCATGATTTGTTTACTTTTGAACTTTGGTAAAAATCGAACATTTCTGGTATTTTGAGCTCAATTTCAAGGTACTTTTCATTGTAAAACCAGTCAAAATCATCTCAGTTTCTGTAATATGTCTTCCATTCTATAAAATGAGACCAAGAAAACTAAAATACAACAATAAATACCATACGAAAATACAGTGCAGTCGCTGTTTTATTCCAAAAACACGGTCAAAGTTTTTTTTTCTCATTATGCACTGTGTGCTGCAGGATTTTTTTTATACTGTGCACACTGACCACATAGACCCATTCTTTCATATGTATGCCTACCAGCTTTCTCCCACTAGATTTGAGGGCACTAGAATTTAGGCATACTAGTACGTCAAAAACCCTGGATCGTAAGCCATACTAGTACGGCTGAAACCCTCAAAGGGTTTAAGAGTTTGAGGGAAGGAGTAAAGGAGGTTTTGAGTGCTAGGGGCTTGAACAGTCAACAGGCTTTCATAAGTGTATTAGATCATAGTGAGTGGAGACAAGTATTTTTGTTGCTTGGCATGTTGCTAAAGTGTGAGCATGATAATATTTATGAAGGGATTCAGGGAAACTGGTTAAGCAGATCTAAATCCTGGGAGTATTACAGGAAGTACAGTGCCTTCACTCTGAACTGTGATATCTGCTTACTTAGAACATAAGAATGGAGGAACACTGCAGAAGGCCTACTGACCCATACAAGGCAGGTCCATATAGCCCTTATAGTCCAGCAAGAAAGTCGTTAGATGAATGATGGTGAAAGTATATCCTCGTTTATGGGGTCATTCTACCTCAGTCAAGAGACAGCTGGTGAGTTAAAAATATTTAATACTATTCGGAATTCAAATCATATTGTATCTGGGATGTATTAGAGGCTAGCAATTTTAAGAAATTTCCTAATATTGTCTTTGATGATGCTTTTATTGCTTCTAGTGAATCATCACAGCTCCTTCTCCCTATTGGCCCCTTCAAGGGAAGTGTTTGATGCCAGTAAGGGGCTCTTGATCTTAAGAATTACAGCTATCCTCAGCTTTCTTCGATTGAATCTAATTACCACTGACTCCTACCATTTCTCAGGCACTGTAAGGTCCTTGAGGTTTTAGTGCTTCCCCATGAATATACTAATAATCCATTTACTGGCATGATAGGGATCAAGTATGCATATACTGTATTGATCTGTGAGCACTGAAGATACAATGGAGAGGTTGTACTTAATGTAGCCATTAGTTCTTCGTCTCATCTTTCCCATCCCCATAGTGTCAAAACTATGTAGGTGTTGATTTGTGCATTCTTTGACCTGCAAAATGAGGGAGATTGTTAACTCAAGAATTTTTGGTTTACTTAGTTACTGAGCATATATTTCAGATGTTTGAACAATCAGTTTTGATGACATGAATGTCTAAGATACTCATGTCAACTTAAAATTGTAGGAGAAAATGGTTCATCAGATTCTTTCCTTTTACATGAATTTACTTTTTTTGTATTTCATTTTAAAGATTTTTATCCTTAACAAGTTAAACTCACATTTAGAGACTTTGTATCTCATTACTGGAGATTTTTAAAATTTAGGTACGGTACTGGAATAGTGTTTATTCTCATGCTTATTTATTTTTCTTGCAGTGGAAAGCCCATGAAGGAGTAATCCTGAAGGTGGCCTGGAACCCCAACACTGGTCTTATACTATCAGGCGGCGAAGATACTCGATATCGTGTGTGGGACAACTTTGGTCGGCAGTTATTTTCTTCTTCTCAACACCATCACCCTATCACTGCTCTGGCCTGGTCACCTGATGGTCAGCTGTTTGCAGTAGGTTCATTTAACACACTACGATTATGTGATAAAGCTGGGTGGTGCCACTCACTGGAAAAACCCACAACAGGAAGTATCTTCAACCTTGCATGGTCTAGTGATGGCACTCAAGTTGCTGGTGCATGTGGTAATGGCCATGTCATCTTTGCACATGTCATTGAAAGTCATCTAGAATGGAAGAATTACGAAGCAACTGTAACTAGCCGCAAAAGTATCGCTTTGCATGATGTTACAAACGAAGCTTGGGAGAAACTTGAACTGAGAGATCGCATAATAAAAGTCTCTCTTTCACATGGCTATATGGTAATAGTGACATCAACACAGGGTTATATCTACTCCACACGTAACTGGAATACTCCCTTCATCTTTGAATTAAAAGAATCTAATGTCAGCCTCATAGTACAAGCTGAGCGACATTTTCTTCTTGTGGATGGGGTAGGTGTGTATGTATACTCTTATGATGGCCGAGTGCTTTGTGTACCACGCTGGCCAGGAATGAGGACAGATGTTCTGAATAGTAGAACTGTATCATTATCAAATGATACATTGGCCATTCGTGATAAAACAGATGAGAAAGTGGTTCATTTGTTTGATGCATCAACAGGTAAAGCCTTGAATGATGGCAAGCCATGGTCTCATAAATTAGAAATAATGGAGCTGGCTCTTGATAAAGTTGGCACAGCTCATGAGAGGCATATGGCTGTTGTTGACCGTAATAGAGATCTCTTTTTAGTAACTCTCCAGCGTGTAGGTACTATGGGAAGAGCAGTTAAGCTTGGTGGGATGGTGCAATCTCTTTGCTGGAATGATGGAGCTAATATGCTTGCTGCACTTCAGGACTCAAAATTTATAGTGTGGTTTTATCCTGCAGTGGTATTTGTTGACCGTGATCTGCAATCACTTACAGTTCTTGAGAAAGATGCCACTGAATTTGGCAAGAATGCAGTAATAGACAATTTCCTAGACTCAGTGGTGACAGTGCGGCGTGCAGATGGTAGTTTAATAGCTACCAGTGTTTCTCCTTATCCAGCACTACTTCAGAACTATGTGACTACTAAACACTGGGATGATGCTGTTAGATTAGCAAGGTTTGTCAAAGATGACATTGTGTGGGCCTGCTTGGCAGCCATGGCTACAGCCAGTAAAGAACTTAGCACAGCAGAAGTTGCATATGCAGCAATTAATGAGGCTGACAAAGTCCAGTATATTCATTACATTAAGGAGATACCAATTAAAGAGGCCCGGACAGCTGAAATGGCATTATTAGGTGGCCACATTGGGGATGCAGAAGCTCTTCTTGTTCAGTCTGGTCTCTTTTTCAGGGCAATTATGTTGAACCTTACCACTTACAACTTTGAGCGTGCACTCCAGCTAGCCATTAGACACCGCACCCACGTTGATACTGTTGTGGCCTTCAGACAGCGCTACTTAGCTCGATTTAACAAGAAAGAAACCAGCAAGCTCTTTCTCCAGTATGAAAAGCAGGTACAGTTCATTTGTAAATATTTTATTCTTAAAAAAAAATGGTATTAATCATTATGAGTTGGTGAACAGTGCACAGAATGAGAGTAAATGTGTGTAATTGTTTAGTAATAATTTAGCTTCACTCATTTCTTATAATGGCATTGTGACCCAATGAAGAAAATGCATCATTTGCTTTCTGGTTGCTTTTCCAGAGGTATACACATTACAATTCAGTGTTGGCCATCTGAACCACAACATCCCCACCCTACTTCCAAAGTACAGACACTACTTTCCAATCTAAAAACTTTCTCCCAATTTAGCATCATGCCAGATCCCATGGACTGTTCTCTTAAATTACTACTAATGTAAGATGCTCACTTATGTTTGTTGGATACTCAATCCTTGTGTCTCAGTACAGTGGAAACTGATCATGGCCATAATTCGTTCCTGAACTTTGGTCGTGACCTGATTTGGTCATGACCTGAACTTAATTTCCCCATTGGATTGTGTGTAAATACGAATAATCCGTTCCAGACCCCTCCGAACTGTATGTAAATATTTTTTTTTTTTAAGATTTTTAAGTACAAAAAATAGTTAATTATACTATGGAATGCACACTGTAATAGTAAACTAAATGTGAAAACCTTGAATAACAATGAGCTAACCTTGAACAACAGAGAAAACTAACATTGCACGAGTCCTAAGAGTTTTAAGGGGCGTCTAATGGCTGAGCAGCGAACTCCGTTATTTATCGTCCGATTTCTTTCATTTGTGGTGTACGTTAAGAAGTATCTTTCCATCATACATTTCCCAAGTTTCAATAAGATAGCCCAACAAACAACTGAGAACAAAAAATTTACCAAGAACTCATATATGGCAAGCACTAGCAAGGTACTGGCATTGCAAGAAGTTGTTTCGGCACTACCTGCTGATAAAACATTGCTAATCTGAATTTATCACTTTTGTAATTACAGGAAGTGGGGAAAAATTGGTGTGTGCAAAAAAAATAGCACAGGATGTGAAAATTGGCGCGGCGTGTTTGTTCACCACTCGATTATACATTTGTGACCAGATGCAAAAACTTGGCAAATTTTTTGGTCGTGAACCGATTAGGTCGTGTTCGGAAGCATTTGTGACCAGAGGTTCCACTGAACTTCTTTCACATCCTCCTATTTCCTTGGGTAGCCACCTTTTAACAATAGAAAGATTGCAAGCTCCATTAACATAATAGATTGTATTGACATTCTTTCCATGCTAGAGAGACCATGGCAACAGAGACTAACTAAGCTAGCTATGCTTTCCTTAGGATGGGTAAAGCCTTCCTACACCCCCAGTCTCTTTTATGAATTTTTAATAGGTCCAATTCAATTATTGGGATGCTCTAAATAATGAACAGTCATTCCTGGTTGTATTTTTATATCCGGATAATAAAGTAAATCTCTTATTTTTGTGTGACTATGAATTCAAAATGGAAGGCAAGTGTAATATAGGAGAGACCTGGGGCCATGAATAATGAACAGTGGAAATCTTGTTTTAGTGACAACAATGTCTGCATTGTTTACTTTCGACTCTTATTTTTAAACTGACATTTTTTAATTTCGTGTAAAATTGGCCAAATTACCGACTCTGTGCACTTTATAGAGTAGTTCTCTCAGAAACACTTAAGCATGCACCCAAACATCCCTGTCCATAAGTACACAACCATTACTAATATGCTTGTGTATTTCAAAATATTATATTTATTTTCTTTCAGGTTCAGATTGACTGGAAGAAAATATATGAAAAAGTCGAGTTGGAGTACCAAAAAGAGAGGGAGAAACCAAGTTCATCTCAGCAGAATTACAGTGAAACATAAACAGTTCCTAGTCACATTTTTTTAATACATAGGGTGGTTTTGTAGATTTAAAAAAATGGAGAATTTTTATTAGGGCAGCCTGTAACTTAGTGGTTAAAGCATTGCACAGTTGATAGGTCCAGTGGCATTACTGGGGGGAAGGGGGATAGCAAGGGCAGCAGTCATACATCCCCCTCAACACATTTTATTTGCCCTTGCCATTGCAGCTATACTTATTGTAATTCTGTATTATGATTTAAAATATGAAATAACGCTTGTATTTATTGTAAAATCATGCCTTAAAAATAGTCCATGTACAATATATTTAAAATTATTTTATTTTGTATGCATGGCGATATCCTTTTAATGTGCTTGATTCCTTCACCACCACCCTCCTCCTGCCCTGACAGTGGAAATTGGCAACACTTCTGAATAGGTTATGGATTTTGTCCCTGGACATTGAGAGAGACTTTGGCAACTCTCCTTAAGCTTGCTGCTCTTGTTTGCCTAGCTGTAAATAAAATATTAAAAAGACTATTTCCTTGCAAAGGTTACAGTGAGTAATTACAATTTTGATTTGTTAAGTACACAAAGAAAGCTGGGGCATTTTTGGCATACTAATCCTAGCACATAATTACTACTTAAGTCTAGACAATATAAGAATGGTTAACTTTTTAATAAATCTATTTTATCATAACACTAATGCAAGATAGTCAGGGTGGAGGTTTATAAAAATAATAATATTGAAGTTGCACATAAAAACAATATTACAATTAATTAATTGTGCTGGATGACTGTTGTGGGTACGGAGAACATTGTTAGGAATAAGCTTTAAGCTGAACAGCTGTGGTAACTTACACTTTAAATCAGTTTTATTACTGCACCTCTTCTCCAAAACATACAGGTTGGTAGACAGCAACCACCCAGGGAAGTACTACCGTCCTGCCAGATGACTGTGAAACAAAAACCTGTAACTGTTTTGCATGATGGTAGGATTGCTGGTTTTCTTTTTCTGTCTCATAAACACGCTAAGATAACAGGGATATCTTGCTACTCCTACTTACACTTTGGTCACACTTCACAGACACGCACATGCATATATATATACATACATCTAGGTTTTCCTCCTTTTTCTAAATAGCTCTTGTTCTTTTTTATTTCTTCTATTGTCCATGGGGAAGTGGAAAAGAATCTTTCCTCCGTAAGCCATGCGTGTCGTATGAGGCGACTAAAATGCCGGGAGCAATGGGCTAGTAACCCCTTCTCCTGTATACAATTACTAAAAAAGAGAAGAAGAAAAACTTTATAAAACTGGGTTGCTTAAATGTGCGTGGATGTAGTGCGGATGACAAGAAACAGATGATTGCTGATGTTATGAATGAAAAGAAGTTGGATGTCCTGGCCCTAAGCGAAACAAAGCTGAAGGGGGTAGGAGAGTTTCAGTGGGGGGAAATAAATGGGATTAAATCTGGAGTATCTGAGAGAGTTAGAGCAAAGGAAGGGGTAGCAGTAATGTTAAATGATCAGTTATGGAAGGAGAAAAGAGAATATGAATGTGTAAATTCAAGAATTATGTGGATTAAAGTAAAGGTTGGATGCGAGAAGTGGGTCATAATAAGCGTGTATGCACCTGGAGAAGAGAGGAATGCAGAGGAGAGAGAGAGATTTTGGGAGATGTTAAGTGAATGTATAGGAGCCTTTGAACCAAGTGAGAGAGTAATTGTGGTAGGGGACTTGAATGCTAAAGTAGGAGAAACTTTTAGAGAGGGTGTGGTAGGTAAGTTTGGGGTGCCAGGTGTAAATGATAATGGGAGCCCTTTGATTGAACTTTGTATAGAAAGGGGTTTAGTTATAGGTAATACATATTTTAAGAAAAAGAGGATAAATAAGTATACACGATATGATGTAGGGCGAAATGACAGTAGTTTGTTGGATTATGTATTGGTAGATAAAAGACTGTTGAGTAGACTTCAGGATGTACATGTTTATAGAGGGGCCACAGATATATCAGATCACTTTCTAGTTGTAGCTACACTGAGAGTAAAAGGTAGATGGGATACAAGGAGAATAGAAGCATCAGGGAAGAGAGAGGTGAAGGTTTATAAACTAAAAGAGGAGGCAGTTAGGGTAAGATATAAACAGCTATTGGAGGATAGATGGGCTAATGAGAGCATAGGCAATGGGGTCGAAGAGGTATGGGGTAGGTTTAAAAATGTAGTGTTAGAGTGTTCAGCAGAAGTTTGTGGTTACAGGAAAGTGGGTGCAGGAGGGAAGAGGAGCGATTGGTGGAATGATGATGTAAAGAGAGTAGTAAGGGAGAAAAAGTTAGCATATGAGAAGTTTTTACAAAGTAGAAGTGATGCAAGGAGGGAAGAGTATATGGAGAAAAAGAGAGAAGTTAAGAGAGTGGTGAAGCAATGTAAAAAGAGAGCAAATGAGAGAGTGGGTGAGATGTTATCAACAAATTTTGTTGAAAATAAGAAAAAGTTTTGGAGTGAGATTAACAAGTTAAGAAAGCCTAGAGAACAAATGGATTTGTCAGTTAAAAATAGGAGAGGAGAGTTATTAAATGGAGAGTTAGAGGTATTGGGAAGATGGAGGGAATATTTTGAGGAATTGTTAAATGTTGATGAAGATAGGGAAGCTGTGATTTCGTGTATAGGGCAAGGAGGAATAACATCTTGTAGGAGTGAGGAAGAGCCAGTTGTGAGTGTGGGGAAGTTCGTGAGGCAGTAGGTAAAATGAAAGGGGGCAAGGCAGCCGGAATTGATGGGATAAAGATAGAAATGTTAAAAGCAGGTGGGGATATAGTTTTGGAGTGGTTGGTGCAATTATTTAATAAATGTATGGAAGAGGGTAAGGTACCTAGGGATTGGCAGAGAGCATGCATAGTTCCTTTGTATAAAGGCAAAGGGGATAAAAGAGAGTGCAAAAATTATAGGGGGATAAGTCTGTTGAGTGTACCTGGTAAAGTGTATGGTAGAGTTATAATTGAAAGAATTAAGAGTAAGACGGAGAATAGGATAGCAGATGAACAAGGAGGCTTTAGGAAAGGTAGGGGGTGTGTGGACCAGGTGTTTACAGTGAAACATATAAGTGAACAGTATTTAGATAAGGCTAAAGAGGTCTTTGTGGCATTTATGGATTTGGAAAAGGAGTATGACAGGGTGGATAGGGGGGCAATGTGGCAGATGTTGCAAGTGTATGGTGTAGGAGGTAGGTTACTGAAAGCAGTGAAGAGTTTCTACGAGGATAGTGAGGCTCAAGTTAGAGTATGTAGGAAAGAGGGAAATTTTTTCCCAGTAAAAGTAGGCCTTAGACAAGGATGTGTGATGTCACCGTGGTTGTTTAATATATTTATAGATGGGGTTGTAAGAGAAGTAAATGCGAGGGTCTTGGCAAGAGGCGTGGAGTTAAAAGATAAAGAATCACACACAAAGTGGGAGTTGTCACAGCTGCTCTTTGCTGATGACACTGTGCTCTTGGGAGATTCTGAAGAGAAGTTGCAGAGATTGGTGGATGAATTTGGTAGGGTGTGCAAAAGAAGAAAATTAAAGGTGAATACAGGAAAGAGTAAGGTTATGAGGATAACAAAAAGATTAGGTGATGAAAGATTGAATATCAGATTGGAGGGAGAGAGTATGGAGGAGGTGAACGTATTCAGATATTTGGGAGTGGACGTGTCAGCGGATGGGTCTATGAAAGATGAGGTGAATCATAGAATTGATGAGGGAAAAAGAGTGAGTGGTGCACTTAGGAGTCTGTGGAGACAAAGAACTTTGTCCTTGGAGGCAAAGAGGGGAATGTATGAGAGTATAGTTTTACCAACGCTCTTATATGGGTGTGAAGCGTGGGTGATGAATGTTGCAGCGAGGAGAAGGCTGGAGGCAGTGGAGATGTCGTGTCTGAGGGCAATGTGTGGTGTGAATATAATGCAGAGAATTCGTAGTTTGGAAGTTAGGAGGAGGTGTGGGATTACCAAAACTGTTGTCCAGAGGGCTGAGGAAGGGTTGTTGAGGTGGTTCGGACATGTAGAGAGAATGGAGCGAAACAGAATGACTTCAAGAGTGTATCAGTCTGTAGTGGAAGGAAGGCGGGGTAGGGGTCGGCCTAGGAAGGGTTGGAGGGAGGGGGTAAAGGAGGTTTTGTGTGCGAGGGGCTTGGACTTCCAGCAGGCATGTGTGAGCGTGTTTGATAGGAGTGAATGGAGACAAATGGTTTTTAATACTTGACGTGCTGTTGGAGTGTGAGCAAAGTAACATTTATGAAGGGATTCAGGGAAACCGGCAGGCCGGACTTGAGTCCTGGAGATGGGAAGTACAGTGCCTGCACTCTGAAGGAGGGGTGTTAATGTTGCAGTTTAAAAACTGTAGTGTAAAGCACCCTTCTGGCAAGACAGTGATGGAGTGAATGATGGTGAAAGTTTTTCTTTTTCGGGCCACCCTGCCTTGGTGGGAATCGGCCAGTGTGATAATAAAAAAAAAATAACTATGTGATGGCAGGGTTTACTGTTTTCAGGAGGATTCTTGCTCAGGAGGACTAAGAATCCTCCTAAAAACAGTAAACCCTGCCATCTCACAGTCTCTCCTGTTAATACTACACAGGCACATTGCAGAGAATGAACATTGAAATGGGCCTTCTCTATCCAGCCTCCAATAGAAATATTTGTCTAACTTATTTTTATGTTACCCAAGTAATAGCTTTTATATTCATTTTACTCATGTGCAAGTTAATTGTTCTACCATATTGTATTACTACTACTGCAACTTATATCACCACTACTATTAGCACTAGTATTGCACCTCACTCTGAGCCTATATATACGTACCCTCTTGTGTCCGTGTACTGTTTGTAACAGCGTGATAAAGCTCCTGGAGAGCGAAAAGTTGCCACAATAAAAATGTCACATTAGTTGCACTTGCGTCCTTTTACTTTACACATTGTAATTCTACCAACATTATCATGAACGAATTTTGGAATCAGCAGACATGGTCCATTGATTCAGAAGGCTCCCAGACACTAAGAAAACAGGTATTGTAACCTGTAAAACAGTACAGTACTATACAGGTACAGTACTGTATGTAAATACAGGCCATTGAAAATCACTGACCTGAAGCCTCTCAAAATCTAGTTCAGTATCTTTCTTTCAACACACCAGCCGTATCCCACCAAAGCAGGGTGGCCCAAAAAGAAAAATGAAAGTTTCTCTTTATAAAATTAGTAATGTATACAGAAGAAAAAGATACCAGCCCCTTGCTCCTGACATTTTAGTCACCTCTTACGACACACATGGCTTACAGAGGAAGAATTCTGTTCCACTTCCCCATGGAGTAATTC